AAGGCACAAATGCACAATCTGGTTGGCTTAGATGTCAGAAGATCCATTTTTATTTCTGATTCTGGCAGAATATTCATGCGTGCCTATGAGAAATGCCTTAAGCCTGTCAAGTCTCTGGTTTATACCCATGAAAAAGGTTGGACTTGATGATCTTGGAGGTCTTTTCCAACCTGAATGATTCTATGATTCTGTGAGAAATAGAGGTGTTTATTTGTGTAAAAGCCTACCTTTGGGATGGGTGTAATTTCCAATTGTAAAGTGCCTGGCACAAAGCAGCCCTTGTCTTCCGGTGCCTTATGTGCTGAAAGGTTGGACCAGATATCCTTGAGGTCCCTTCCAGCCTGATATTCCAGGACTCTGTGGCTTCAGACTGTGCTTATGGTTACCCACTACTGGCAGGAGGTGCTGGTGGCTATTTATGCAGTTATTCATATTGAGGGTAAAATAGGATGGAAGTGGAGGTTGTAATCAAACTGGTTCATGCACGTCATTTAGAACTGCTCCTGCGGGATACCAAGAGGTGTAACTGCTTCTGGACATGTATTTTCCTTACATTTTAGTAGACTTAATTGAGTTCTCTGGAACAAGTTAGAGTCTGATTGTATCCTGTAGTGTAATTTTCAGCATAGTTTTCTAAATCTGATCTCTGTTACACACCACAAACACATTGGTCCAGGAAGGCAGTGAGGCCATGCCTAAGTGTTTGTTTTTTCTTGCAGGGTCCTTTGCTTCTCAGAAATTGCAGCTCCTGTTCTCCAGAAGTGGGTGGGCAGTAGCAATGTCTGACTTGTGGCAGAGCAAAATTGATGTGAACTCGCATTAAATGCAGTAACTCAGCTATGGAAGGATGATAGTGAAAAGGGTATGATAGAGTCACATCATGGTTTAAGTTAGAAGGGACCTTAAAACCATCTCATTCCACTCTCCTGCTGTGGACAGGGACACCTTCCACTAGCCCAGGGTGATCCAAGCCCCATCCAACCTGGCCTTGGGATGGAGCAGCCACAGCTTCTCTGGGCAACCTGTGCCAGTGTCTCAGCACCCTCATATGCAGCATAAACAGTGGGATTGTGTAACCTTTTAAAAGTGCCATGGAAGTTTTGGTGATGTCGGGGTTTTCCTAAAATCCACTGATTACATGCCCACTTCCACCTCTTATGTTTTAGGTTCCATGTCATCACAATCTCGCAGTTTTGGCTTGTTTCCCTTCCGAGCCACTTCTTCCCACCTTAAAAAAAAAATAAAGGCAAAACAAACAACGACATTTTAGACATCTCCTGTTGATAATAACTTCCAAATGGAAATCAGTGGCAGCTGGTTCTTCACACTTTAACCCTTCCTCTGCTGCCCTTCCAGGAAATAATTTATGACTGATTGGCCCATTAACCTTTTTTTTCTAAAAAAAGTTTGACAGCCTGGACTTGTGTAATGAGGAGGGATTCCTGGTGAAATCAGGCTGATGTCTGAGTTGCTTGCCCCTGAGGATGCAAAATTAGCCCCATGGGACCTCGTCTGCATAGAAACTGGACACAATTAGTGTAATATCCGGTGTTATTAATGTAGTTTGGAATAATTGGGCAGGTTGATTTCGACAGGTTGATGGTGCTAAAATACTATTATAGTGGACCTTTCTATGAATAACTGTTAAACATGGAAAACTGTTTAATAAAATTTTGTGATTGGGCTCACAGGGATTTAAATAGCACAAACTATAATTTGGTTGAAGAGTAAGGCTGAACAATTTCATCCTGCCGCCTGGATTTTCCTGTTTCCATGTGCAGTGGTTAAGGATGTCCGGGTTTGCTCCTTGTCTTTTGTACGCCGTGCCCTGGGGGTGACATGGAGCAGGCACTGCTGCTTTGGTTCATAGTTGAACTTAGAAAAATATAATGGTGTGTTTAAGCAGAGAATGTATTAGTGAAGATGTTTTCAACTGGCACAGCTTTTTATAGAGTAAACCTGAAGCTTCGATCGATATAGAATCATGGAATCATTAAGGTTGGAAAAGACCTCCAAGATCATTGAGACCAGCCTTTGACCCAGCACCACCATATTTAGCGCTAAACTATGTCCCCAGTTGCCACATCCAGACACCTTTTGAACACCTGCAGGGATGGTGGCTCCACCACCTCCCTTGGCAGCCTGTTCCTGTGTCTGACAACGGTTTTGGTGAAGAAATTTTTCCTGATATTCAGCCAGAACCTTCCCTGGTGCTACTTAAGGCCATTTCCTCTTGTCCTGTTAGTAGACATCTGGGAGAAGAGGCCAGCCCCTACCTTGCTACAAGTTCCTGTCAGGGACTTGTAGAGAGCAAGAAGGTCTCCCTCGAGTCTCCGTTTCTCCACACTGAACCCCCCCAGCTCCCTCAGCCACTCCTCATCAGACTTGAGCTCCAGACCCTTCACCATCTCCATGCCCTTCTCTAGACACGCTCCAGCACCAGTATCTCACCATATTAGTGTCAAAACATTTCATGTTCTTAATGTATCATCAGCGATGGCCAGTTTTTCAGTGAACTCCGTGAGGAGCTGAAAACATCCTTCTAGCCCAGCCTGAAAACGTGGTGCAGCCCTCCTGGGCAGACCAGCTTCATGTGTGTAATCAGCATTACTAAATTGGAGAGCAGAGGAGTCAGTGATGCTGCGCCTTGGTTGTGTATAGTTCTTTTAAGGTCTGGATTCACACCGTTGGGAAGTCATGTCATACTTATTGCAGAGATGGAGTGATGCCAGAGTCGTGCAGTGACTCTCTAAATACACACCACATACACTTGTTGAGTATTGATAATTTACCCTATATTCAATTTCTTACTCCTTAGGAAGTCAGCCCTGCCAGTGCACTGGAGAATTCTGTCTTGTTGTCCTCTTCTGAGTCTTCTGCATCCCTACAGGGTCTTCTCCCAACCTAAGAAAGAGGAAGTGTAGGAAAAAATTTGGGGTGGCAAAATGGCTGTTTTCTCTAGCAGGCACGTCCTACAACTTATACCAGACCTTTGGCTTATGTGGGAGTGGTGTGGTGTGTGGTGAGGTGTAGAAGACCTTAGTTGTGTTATCCTGCAGGTGGCAGCACACAGGACTGAATGTAGCATCATTTATTGTGGACTAGTTCCTCATAAACTCCTGAAAGCTGTTTCATAAACAGGGCTTCTTCTGTGATTCATCCATAGCGGTTTGGGTAATGATTCTACCTGTTTGTAACACAGTGTTGCTAAAATGTAAAAGTAGTACAGTTACATCATTCATCTGTGACCCAGGGAATGGCATGAAGCTGTGCCAGGGAAGGCTTGGGTTGGATATTAGGGAAAGGCTCTTCTCCCAGAGGGTGTTTGGGCACTGGAACAGGGTTAGGTTGGATATCAGGAGAAGATTCTTCCCCCAGAGGTGTTTGGGCACTGGAACAGCTCCGCAGGGCAGTGGTCACAGCCCCAAGCCTGACAGAGCTCAAGGAGTGTTTGACCAATGCTCTCAGGCACAAAGTGGATTGTGGGGGTGTCGTCTGCAGGGCCAGGGGTTGGACTCTGTGATCCTTGGGGATCCCTTCCAGCTCAGGATATGCTATGGTTCCATGATTTCTTTTCCCACTTATCCCACACTATTTTTTAGTGCTGCCTCAGGTGCCCTTTTGCATCTGGAGATAACCTTCAACTCTGTGTTTGTTGCCACCTCAAGATGCAAAGTTACCTTCTGCTGTGTTTTGAGGCCTCACTGCAGCAGTGTAGGCACTAGCCTTGCTAACAAGGAGTTTATCCCAGAAAACCAGTTGTCCCACAGGTTGGAAAGTGACTGCCAGTGGGCAGCACTGCTGTCTTTAAGAGCTCAATTTGTGACTTCTCTTCACGTGCTTACGGATGACAAGGGAATGTGGTAGTTCCATGGCTACGGATATATGAGTAATTATCAGACAAAATGCCCTTTCTAAAGCTCATTATGGCTGATGTTCACTAGAATTTTGTGCTCTATTGTTCTTTTCCTTTTATGTCTCATGCCCAGCCCTTCCCAATTCCACTTGCTCTGTTTCAGCTTCCTTGAATTTTTTAATTTGACTTGGGTGTCCCACGTGTGGGTAGTGTGTGTGTCCATTTATTGCAGCTCTGATGATATTTCATCTGCTGCTCCTCTGGCCTGAATACTTGTCCTTATACTCCAGTAGCCCTAAGGATATTTCACTGACCCTCTCTGCTGGCTTCTCAGATCATTTTCTCATCTCCCATCTCAAACGTGAATGTTGAAGAGGTTGAACTGATTTCCATCCTGTATTATATCCCAGTAATTAATTGTTATTATCCCAGTATTTATGCTGTAGACAAGAAAATATACACATCTGCTTTAATGTATCTGTGCATGTGAAACCTGCTTGAAAGAAGAAGGGAGATTGTTACATTTTCTGTATTGTCGGCTCTTCATAGTCCATTCATCTTTTGTTTTGTGGCACACTTTGATTTTTACATTATGCAGCTCTTAGCACCTCAGGTTTAAATCTAAATCGTGCTTGTTGGTCAGTTTATGTTTGAGAAGGGTGGAGAGTCAATGCCAAACTCACAAACACACATGAAAACTGAGTATTTACCCAAACTAGTGCTTTATCTGCCTAACATTTGGAGTGAAAAAGCAGTGGATCCATACATTGTTCCCTGATGCATTGTGCAGGGCAGTTGGCTATATCCAGCCTCAAACCCCAGATGTCCAGACCTGCTTTTGCTTGTTACAGAATCACAGACTGGTTTGGGTTGGAAGGGATCTTCAAGGCCACCTTGTTCCACTCCCTGCCGTGGGCAGGGATACCTTGGAGCAGCCACAGCTTCTCTGGGCAACCTGTGCCAGTGCCTCAGCACCCTCACAGGGAAGAATTTCTTCCTAATACCTGATCTAAACCTTCCCTCCTTCAGCTTAAAACCATTCTCTTAAGGTGCAGAAATTCTTACCAAGCAAAATTGTTTAGGCTAGTTATCAATATCCTTAACTTAACCTTTTCTTCCAATTGCATTGTTTTTTCAGAGCAAGAAGAAAACTTCGAGTTCATCATCGTCTCTCTCACTGGCCAGACATGGCACTTTGAAGCCACCACCTATGAAGAAAGAGATGCATGGGTCCAAGCCATAGAGAGTCAGATCTTGGCCAGTTTACAGTCGTGTGAGAGCAGCAAGAACAAGGTATGGTGCACAGAGTAATACTGAAAAGAAGTAATGGATTGGGTGGTCATTAAGATGACAGCAAAATTAGGAACTCTGAATTTTAAACCTGCACTCCTAGAGACATATGTGTATTACACCCACAGTAGAGCAGCCTTCGAGCTTCCTGGGAGAAGACCATGGCCTAAGAGAAACATTCTTCTACCTTGCAGTGCTTTTGTACGATGACAGAAGGAATTTGGTCTCCTTTCCTGGCAAAATAAATGTTTAAACTCTGAGACTTCTTCAGCCAGTGCTCATTTCTGGGAGGGCATCTGGAGTCAATGTGTCTACAGACACCTCACAAGTAGAGGGCAAGGTGCTGAGCAGCGGTCGAGGGAGAGAAGTTCAGACCTCTAGATCCTTTAGTGTTATCCAACTGACAATTGACCTTCATGATTTTGCATCCTAGGGAGGAGGCTCATATTTTTAAGGGAATGCCTTTCATTGCCCTGAGGTGCCAGAGTAGATCAGACATGAGTCGTTATCATCATCACAATATAATTTACTTTCTATTTGGCTTTAAGAAACATATTTATTTCCAATATGTATTTCTGAGATGAGGGAAAATCACAGCTTACATGTTTTCTTGATTTTCTTGGATTCACACGTTCTAACATGTGTGTTAAGGGAGCACAGAAGAGGAAGTTTGTACATTAACACCTACATCAAAATAGTAATGCAAAAGAGAGCGAAGAGTGGCTGGTAAGTACCTCAGAAAGGTTTGGTTCTCTGGGCTCTCAAAACACATCAAAAGAACTGGCTGAAACTGCAAAGGGCAGTTAGTTGGGCAGGTTTAGTAGGTGTCCCATGGAGGATGTATCTCCACATGGCCATCCACAAGACCTGGTCCTCATCCTGCTTGTATCAGTTCATTGCCAAAAGTCCATCCCTTGGTGCAGCCAGCACTTTGTTTCTAAGAGAGGCCACAGGACAGTGCAGTTGGATAGGCTGAACTGCTTGTACATCGTGACAGTGTTCCCAGGTCCAAGGAGAGGTCGTTGACAGGTCATCATGGAGGGGATTTAAATGGGAACCATTGGATGAAATCTGACCTTTTGATGATAAAAAGGTTTTAGCCACTTCTGCAAACCGTGCCTTAGTCTTCATTAGCGAAAGCACAGACGTCAATAACGGATATTGATCGTAGCAAATAATACTCTTCTCTCATTTATCTCAAGAAGGCAACCTACACTGTGACTGCTGCTCGTGTGAAGAGCAGGGTCATTTTCAGCCCTGTTTTCCTCTGTGCAGTCTCCCCAGTTGTTAGAATCTAGACTGGAGACCCCAAAGGTCTTGGAGGTGCCAAAAGATCACCATTTCCTGGGAGGCAAATCCAGACTTGAAGTTCCTCGATCATATTCATTCAACCTTGGTCTGAGCTGTGGATTGTGCTGTTCATTCAGCTGACAATCATAGCGTCTGATTTTGTGGTGTTCTTGCTTGTTGTTTATGTGTTCCTTTAAATCGCCACAGTCCCGCCTGACGAGCCAGAATGAGGCCATGGCCCTTCAGTCCATAAGAAACATCAGAGGCAATTCCCACTGCGTGGACTGTGAATCACAGAGTAAGTACAGACACCTGACTGCAGCAAGTTGACCTCTTTTGCTTGGCCAAGCCTTCTCCTTGGCCAAGACCTAGGTGAACACCTGCCACGAGCTTTGTCTTTTTGGTATTGCACTCCATACATTGTGTGCACATCTCTTCTTCATTATGGAGTTTGCTTAATCAGAGTTACTGATGGAAATTTATACCTAGTATGTGCCACATCAGAGAAATCCTATTTTTCCCCTTGTTGTTTCACCTGCCACTTTAAATGTCAGCATTTCTCTACTTCTCTTTGAAGAAAAGGAAAAAATTTGCTGTTCAACATCACTGACTTCCATTTTACTCTTGTTTTGCATGGTGAGGGCACATGTGCCATGGGAATATTTTCAAAGAGGTAGAGCCTGATTGCTGATTTTGTGGTTTGGTGTTTTAGGGTTACTTGTCAGAAAAAACCAAAGTCATTGCTCATTATATCTGGACACAAGAAAACCGATTTGGAATTATTTTTTTATTCCCCTTTGTGTTTCTTTCCCTTTTTTTATTTTTTAAGACATATACTTAGTGTTCAGAAGAGAGTTCTTGAGAATACTTTGAGCTGTGGCTCACTTCACTAACCCTGGCTGAGGTCATTTTTCTGGTGCTCTTCAGTTCCAGGGATTTGCAACAAAGCCATGAAAAGGAAGTTTTCTTGCTCTGAAGCAATTAATTGTAGGAGCTGAAGTACCGGGAGCTTGTGCATTTTTATTTCTTCAATATTTGGAAGATACTTTCCTGTGATTTTTACACATTTAAAATTAAGAAATATTAATTTATTTTTCTTTGGGTATAATTTTTATTTTTGAAGTTTTGCTGTTTAGGATTTTGACTACTGATCTAAGCCTCTCTAACATCCCAGTTTAGAATGAACATTCATACAGAAGTGCAGGTGTTTTTGCATGACTGATTTGGTATTGGCATGCCACTGGGTAGGGATGCAGCATGTGGTCAACAAGGGAGAATGTTGGTTTGGTTGGTATTTGAACACCCACAGCCCAAAGCAATTCTTACTTGTTTGTGTTCTTTCATATTGACCTGGAAGTCATTGGGATTTCCACCCGAGCTTTGATGCAGTTTGGGGAAAAGGCATGTGAGGTGCTGTGTGGGAGAGGATGGGGCTGCAGGTGACCTAGGTGTTTATTTAGCTCATTTGAAGTGCTCAGTGCTGCTCGTGAGCAGCCCATGGTGGCAGTGGGACTGGTTCCTGCTCCAGTCAGTCTGTGCAGCTGTGAGAGCCATTTCCTAGGCCCTGTTAACTGTATATATGTATACATCATATTTTATATTCTTTATGTCTTTATATATATTTATCTTTTTATACATACATACATACATAAGGTGAAATCTTTTCACTGTAGACACTTCCCACACCCACACATGTCCTCCTGATGCATCTGTGATCAATCTTGGCTCTACCCAGAGCCAACACTATCCCCAGGGTGTGTGTTTCTGTCCCCACCATGCACATATCCCAGGAGCATCTCCCCTATGAAGACAGGCTGAGGAAGTTGGGGCTGTGCAGCCTGGAGAAGAGAAGATGGCATGGAGACCTCAGAGCGATTTTTCAACATCTGAAGGGGCTACAAGGGAGCTGGAGAGGGACTCTGTGTCAGGAACTGCAGTGATAGGACAGGGGGTAATGGGTTCAAACTGAAGGAGGGAAAGTCTAGGCTGGAGGTGAGAAAAACGTTTTCCCTGTGAGGGTGGTGAGACACTGGCACAGGTTGCCCAGGGATTGAGGTGGCTGCCCTGACCCTGGTGTTCAGAGACAGGTTGGATGAGGCCTTGAGCAACCTGATCTAGTGAGGAGGTGTTCCTGCCCATGGCAGGGGCTTGGGACTAGATGATCTGTCAGGTCCATTCCAGCCCCTAAATTCCGTGGTTCTATGATTTATGAGGCCAGGCTAGACATTTAAGAAGGAAAATGAATGTGCAAGAAGGCAGCACTTTTTGTTTAATTTTTACTTTTTCCCCCATTTCATCCAGGTTGGTTTTCATCCAGGTAGCTTTGTGGGCCAAGCTTGGCTGCCCGTGTGTGGTGCCAGCAGGAGGGATGTGCCAAGAACACGTTGCTGGGAGAGGGCAGGGTAGAACGGCCCATTTTGGCAATGCTCTATGGTGTAGCTTGGCGGGGGATGATTCTGGAATCTCAGATGGAATTGTTTGTATTCTTGGAGATGATTTATTCCCTCTGACTCCTCTTGCCATTTGACCTTGCTAACTTTAAGGCCACCATCATTCCTTTGGAAAAATGTGGGCTATTTCCAAAACAGTGTATCTTAAAATGTTAACACACGCACGAGTGGAGCCTCAGCCTGTGCTTTTTCTGCAGGGCCTTGCTTTATTTCAGTCTGGCTCTTCCTGCCTTGCCTGGGCAGGTCCTTACCCCCAGAGCATTTAGCATCACAAACCCCAGCGCTCCCGTGGAACTCGTACATGGTTTGCATCTCCACAAAGCCAGATGTTTGGGAGCAAAGGATTATGAGATGTTGCAGTCCCTCAGCTCTATTCAAGAGCCATCAATCTTCCACTTCAGATGTCTCATTCTTCCTCTTTCTAGAGCTCTCTGCCTTTTTAGCTCTTCATGTAGCACTTTGTTTCACCAGGGAATTTCTGCCTTGTTGGATGTTAATCCAGCAGCAGCTGTGCTGCAGCATTCCAGCAGCCTCCAAATGAAGTTAGTCAAAGTCCTTTTTTTAACACTTCTATCCCAGAGCAAGACATGAGGCAAAATGCTCTTTCAATGCTGGTGGTTTTGCCCAAGAAGGTCTCATTTTGTGTTTAGAAGGGAACTGGGGTTGCCTTTTCCCAGAGCAGCAGAGTCCCAGTGCTGACAGAAGTGATCCAATTGCTCAGGCAAACCCAGCTAAATTTCTGCCCCCGAAGGATTTTGGCTCTTCCAGTTTTACATAGATGAGAGGACAAATACCAGTCACTCTTTCAAAGTGCCTGGAGAACATGGAGCATCAGGTCTTTGCCGTTGTAGAAGAAAATAGGGAGGGCTTAAAAATGCGGTCTCATCATGAGTTTTCCAGGTCTGGTCTACTTTGTATTGGAGAGCCAAACACTAAAGTAATAATTTGAGCAATCCTGTCCTACCCATCACAAGGTGCATTTTTATATGCAGAACAGAAAAAAAACTCTGAAAGAATAGTAAAGTTGCAAAATTTTCTCTGTCTGTGATTCAGGATGCCTTCACCCCTGGCTCTTCTGCTCCTCCTGTCAGGGATTCCCTCTGCTCAGCCCAGAGGCATC